GGACAGAGACTCCCTCAAGACGGTCTCACGCCTTTGGCGTTCTTTCGCCCCGCCCCCCCCCAAAAAAAAATGAAGGTCTGGCTACGCCACTGTCTGTTGACAGATATGGGCCCTCACTGAACACTATCTGCAAACATCCGTGTATACATCCACAAACTTGTTTCCATCAACAAAACAATTTTGTATGGCTCTTAAAAGTGAATACTGCTGCACCCCATCTAGTTTGAAATACACCTTGCAGAAAGTATTGCTTTCGAAAATATAATCCAATGTACTGCATCTGCTTTTATTTCAATTTTATGCTTCAATTTTATGGTGGTGACTGGTGATTACGGTTTGACATTGGATACTATCATGTACTGTGCGGTGTCAAGCAAAATACCTGCCCAACCGAAACGGCCAGCACCATGATTGCAAAAATAACCTAGTTTAAAAGCTTGTAAGTTTGCAGACGTTTACGGACAGTGTAATAAATTATGTATGCTGACCTACACAGAGAACTTTATGTCGGGGAAATAACACAATTGATTATTATAAAATATATTAGGACTTCTGGAGGGTAGGGTGGTGGTCGTTATAAATATTTGATTTCCTATGTGGAAGATATCTTATTTCCTATGTGTGTCAGTGTTTTGTAGAATGACCCATTAATGATACATTTGTCATTGTAAAATTGTTAGGCGGTAAATTTTGTAGTTCAGTTTAGTTTTAATGTCCCTTGATTCTTGTGTATCAAAATTATAATGTAGTGTTATACTGTCAGCACCTGTTTCCATTTACCAAACTGATGTGACGTCATTTTCGGAGACGGAAGAAGTTTTAAATCGCTATGTAACAAACCTACCCCTACTTTAACCCCTAAGCATAACCGCAACTCTTACCCTAACCAAATTAATTAAAAAAATCAAAAAAGGAACAACTTTAGAAATTGATCAAATGACGTAATGTTATTTTGATGGTTGAAAACAAGTGAAAACCAAGTAAAATTGTGATGAGTAATTTGAAAAGTACAAAGACTTAAGTTTGGTACATTTATTTGTAATTACATATACTTACTCAAAAACAGAAGTTTGAGGGTTAACATCAACCAACTGATAGGAGTCCTTCAGTGGTTCGTAGTAGGCCAAGTCTCCAGCATGCGTTTCCGTGCCTGTAAACATAAAAAATATAATTATCATATATATGGGGAGAACTTTTTCTAGGGTGGTTTGGAAATTGTTAGTTAATTCTATCTTTGTAAATATGAAAATATCAATCATGAACGGTTACGTATAAACAGCCAATGCACCTTGTCTTACTGCATGTATTATGTAACATGTAAAATCCGAGGGTGATTGAAAAACAATGATAGGAACAGATATTGGATCAGTGAGGCCAGGTTCAAACGTCGAACTTTTCATGCGCCGTTCGTTAATGAGCTACTATAAGTTCTTTGTTTCATTTCATTTGCATTAGGTTCGGCGCATGAAAAGTTCGACGTTTGACCCTGGCCTGAGACGGATGACTGGGATTCAAGCCCCGTTTACACTACGTACGTTCGATTTTTGGAACCAATTTTATCCGTGCCGTACCAAAAATTGAGCGTAGTGTAAACGGGGCTTTAGATGAAAGCCAGATATCAGATAGAGATGGAATAGGATTCCCTCATTAGACCCTATTTAATATTAGGCTTCCGTACCTGGTCCGATTTCGGTTCCTTTTTGAAGGAAAGTAGACTGGCTTCCTTCCGGCGTATTTATTCTATAACTCAAACCTTTCTGATGACGTTTGGCAAGCGAATAAGGCAAATTGATGAAGTTTCCAGATGAAACTGCCAGACGTTTGAAGTAAGAGTGCTTGCATGGCTTCATACCTCATGCACCAGATTCGAACCAAGGGTCCCAAACTGCAAATACATAAAAGAAAAACAAATGGGTATATTGCAAAGTCTTAATTAAGATCAGTGAAGACACATTTATAATTTACAATTACGCGATTTGCCCAGTGCGCAAACTTGTACGATGTAAACTTTGCCCATCGCGTACACTGATATAATGAGATGTATCGTCTCCTTACCGCAATATAGTTCTTGGCATATTGATCATGCAGTGCATTTTGGGTATGATCGAGGCATGGGGATACAGCGTCTTAAAATTTTCATGATGGCTTTGCATGAGAATTTGAAGATAAGGCATCTGCTGTTTGCTGATCAGTGGAGAGAAAACAATACGCACAATTTGAAGTAGTGTGCAAAACGCTTTCCAATGATCATCATCCTCCTCGATAAATTCGCCAATTAGAAAAGGCAGAAACAAAGCCAAGCACCACATCTCATTTGCTGTAACATTAAATTTCAGATACATGTTTCAGTCAAGCTTTTGTTGATGGGGAATATGTAATACCAATACAGGCTCATACGAAATTACGTACTATAAAAGATACAAAACGTATTCCCACAATAACTACAAAATTGACAAATTAAAAGTATACATAAATGTATTTTACGGTACTGTATTTTGAACCTTACCATGTTGTTTGAGGTTATTGTCATTGGAAACGAGTTTTCAAAATTTGCGCTGGTTTGTTGGAGTCGTTGTGGTACCTGAAGCAATATATATATATTGAATAAATTAGACACTTTCTTGCATAAATAGTGTCTTTCGGTTTTTAGGGGCGGACCGTTAGAAAAGTGATGGGGGCCGGGGGGGTACTTTTTCAGATTGTACTAATTTTTAAAAAAAATTTGCTTGTGTCGGTAATAGTTTTTAAAATATAATCCCCTGCAAGAATTTTTGAAATTTGAACTTATAATTTTGCCTATTGAAAATTTCTTTATGTTTCCCCTGCGCGATTTTTATTTTTGCTTTTTCCCCAACCCCTATATTTTGTAACCTTCGTATTCGCCCGCCCTAAAATTCGCGGAAGAAGTTTATTTCGCTGGCCTCACTCGTCTCAGCGTGACAAAGCGTAACAAAGTAACGATTTTACAACCCTATTCCAAACTAACCCTATTCCAAACGTTACTAACCCTATTCCAAACTATCACTAACCCTATTCCAAAGTCTACAACTCTAACCCTAATCCTTGCCCTAACCCTAACCTAACCAACAAATCTTCAAGAAAAATGTTTTGACGAAATGTCATTAGGTCAGCGAATTTCGCGTAGGTTTGTTTTTACCAGGATATTTTGTCGCAATGCAGAACTTCCGGCATTGGTAAAATGACTCGTGTCATTCGTAATTTTTGAAATAGCAAAAAATTGGCAGAAAAACGTTTGTTATCTGCCAAGTATTTTTGAAATCAAAATCTTTAAATTATAATGCAGATCTATTCAGTTCTTTGGTTCTGTAGATGAATTTTGGTGTCAAATAAAAACATTTTTGTACGTTCCACCACGTGTATATGCTGGTTGCTTCGTGTCCACGGCTTGGAAAGTAAATCGTGCTTGAAGGTAAATAAGACTTTGTTTGACAAAATAATTAAGAATGTTCTGTAATGTCAAATGTCCATGTTTCACAATCCATCATGGATTATGAAACATGAACATTTGACATTATAAAGGAACATCAAATAATATCATGTTCGTCTGTTTGACTATTGCGCTTGAATGTAACAAAAAGTCAACATTTCCCTTTTGGCGCAATTTTTTACCTCCCAGGGTTCTTCGATAGTTCGATATGAGAAATGATTTTTTATTCTCTAAAATATTACCAAAGCCAAAAATATAGTTATATAATATTTATAGAACTGTACGCTACTATCTGTATTTCAAAGAAGCGTGAACTGCAAATGTAATTTAATATTTACGTTAAGTACAAAAGAAACAAGCAGAACTTCGACGTTTCGAGCGAATAACGAATATTTTTCATGTGGTTGTAGTTCCTTGTAGTTGCTTGTTCTTAGCATAGAGATTATATCACGAATAATAACTATATTTTCGAATTTTGCCGTACGCAATTTGCAAACTGGACAACTGGTGGATTATTAATACAAAGTACAAACTGAACAACTGCTCATCCTGCATGGCTACATGGAATACGACTACGGGCATTTGAATTTCTAGCAAGTCCTAGGGGCCCTATTTAATTATAATTAAGTTTCTCTATTACTGTGAAATGTGCTTTTGGCTAGATTTTAAAACTATTTCATAGGCTAAATGCCTCTATCTGATGTTCTGGCACACTGTATATAGTTTTTTGCAACTTCATAATAATTTAGGTTAAATTCCTAAAATACAAACCCATAATCAAATGAGGTAATTCTCTTATTTAGCTCTTCTAATGTAAATTTTTTTTCGGTTTGTATGTAGAACTTTAACAGCTCCTTTGCATGATACTGAAGCACTCCTTCCAAAATATCATGCATTGCATCAGGTGGAAGTCCTCCAACAACATGGTAGAATCTGGACTTATTAAGGATGGACCTCCTATTCAGTCCATACGTCATACTGAAATGATCTGCCTGGGGGAGTCTTCGACACTGGATTTCATATCCATCTTTGGTTCTTAGTGTGAACTCACTTTCATGGAACTGTTAAATTTGGAGACACAAGGTAAATATTTTAGCTAGCCTTCATATTATAAATTAACCTTTAAGTGACAATACTTTATCTTTTCTTCAGAGTTCTACTTGTCAAGGGGGGAGTGATGCCACTCAATGGGTTAATAAATTAATTGTATTCTGGGAAAATACATGATTGAGAAATTAAGTAAGTAATCATTTGACCATTCAGTGGCAGCACTTTCCCCATGATAAATCGTTTTCATACGGGATTTTCATTCAGATAGAAAATTTTGAACCACAAAATAATTTGATCTTTCACTGCATGTGTCAACTATTTAGATATTAAACGCTATTGATTGATCATAATATCTGTTTAATAATTGTTTCTATCCTTTGTTTTTGGAAGAACTGTACCTGTGTTTGTATTTGCTCAGCAAGTCCCATACACTCCCTGCATTTCCTGAATGCTTGAGATCCTTCCTTAAATCCACCTAAAAGCTGGGAACCAAGGTTATCACCTGAACTATATATGCAATAGTTCCTCTAAATGAACGCAATTCACGATCTATTTCAAATGCATAACCACCATCCTACAAAAGTAAAGCAAAAAAGAAAACAAATCCTTAGTTATAAATTTAAAATGCAGTTGAACTGAGGATCAATTGAAAAATTAAGGACTTATTCCTAAATGTATTGTAGATTACAAAAGACGGGTAGGCCTACCTGTTCAAGTTGACTGACATCATCCATGATAACCTCAAGGATTGAGTCAATGCCATACTGCTTTAGATGCTTGCTGTTTATTATTGCCACAAGCTGAATAGCATTCAAACTTGATCTTCGTTCTGGTGAAATGTTTCCCAAGGTGTAGTAAATGTTGCCTAAAAAGGTATGAATTGAGTAGAGCACAACCAATTTAATAAGTAAGATAAGGTTTTAATCCGTTTAGTATTATACCCTTGCATTGCACCATATTAATCTGTATGCATGACACCAAGGTCCAGTTGTTCAAAGGTGGGTTAGTGCTAACCTTCGATTAAAGTTCAACAGACTGTTTTGTTTTCAAAACTTCATAGAAGTCAACTCCTACAGTACCTATCCGGACAAAAAAATTCCAGCAACAAGCTCCAGACAATTTTTTTTAACTCTTTAACTGGAATTTGTTATAACAGTAAAAAAATTACAGAATATTAGGAAAATTCTCACCTATTTTGTGAGTGTTTGCTCGTGATCCAAGTGGGTTGCACACTTCTAGCTCATCAAAAAATAGTAATATTTGAAGAGCAAATCTATCCACACTGAACAGACTCAGTGGGTGGTTCTGAAATTCCTCACCATCACAATAATCGCCCAGCAAACCATCATTGCGATTATGAGGGTGATCAATCTA